CCGCCCGCCGCGCCCCGGTGGTTTCCCAGGCGTGCCTCCCTGGGCATTTTTCCCGGGTCTCCGTCCGACGCAGGTGCACACGTGGTCGTTTGCAGGCCGCTCATTCTTACGGCAAAAAAAAAAAAACAAACCAGTAAAATAAACGGTCGTTTTGCTGCTTTAGCTCTTGGGCTCTGCGGCGCTTTTCCTCGCGTGGGCCGGTGCGTGGAAAAGGCTGGCGAGGAGCCCGTCGGGCGAGTCCGTCCAGAGACAGCGAGGGTTAAATGAAGAGCTACGTGTGTTCATGCTGTCCCGCCTTCCTGGCAGGAACCGAGTCGGCGTGGGAAGGATTTTTAACGCTTTCGAGTTGTTCATGTGTATGGCCAAATGTCGTAGCTTTTTGCTGGCCAGTGTGCCGCAGGGGGAGTTTTGTTGGACGAGCTGTCGTGTCTTTTCCTGAACAAACTGAATGCTAAGTTGCAAGAGTTGATCGTTCTGCTCGTGATGGAGTGGCTGCCTGCCTGTCACTTAACGAGCGGGTCATCTGTCCCAAAAGCATGCTTCGAAAAGGTTTTTCGTGCAAAGAGGCCTCAGTGGATATCATGCCTCAACCCTTCCCAGCTTGTTTTCTCTCTGATTCTCTTGGCCTGCCTTCATTTTTCGGCTGTGACCGCTCCAAGCAGGCTTGTGACTGCTCTGCGGCTGGCGTGCTGCTGAGCACGAGCTAGGAAATGGTTTCGAAAGGCCGGGTGTTACGGGTCAGACTTAGCACTGTGCTGGCGTGTTTACCTGAGGGCTGGACAGCGGAATTAGGCCAACCTGCAAAGGCTGCATAAGGCTGCAGAGATTTGGTTTCGAACCCTTTTGGCTTGTTTTTGTTGTATAGTATGTGTCGATTTGTAAGTTTACCTGGTGCTTTTGAATGGTCTTCTGTGAGATAAGGAACAGGGCTACAAACTACAAGTTAAAAACCTCCTACTGCATGTGCAGTAGACAGCTTTTTGAAGGCAAGCACTTGGCTTAGGTCTCTGTAGTGGTAGATCACTCTTGTCTGTTTACAGGCATACCAAATAGCAGATCCCGTCTGAATTATTTGCTTGATAACGTTGGGAAGGCGATGATAAATCTCCTCCTGTGAAGAAACTTAAAAATCGGAACTCCCATAATCTGTATATTTTCAAATATGTCAGAGTATTTGCCTGTGTCAGACTTCATGAAAGATACAAGAAATTTACAGTAAAGAGAAATGAAAGACTATAATTGCAAAGAACTTGAAGATTTTATTGGGATGAACCCAATTCTTTTTCCTAAAATCCCCGTGTTGTTAGTTAAAGTACAAGTCCTAAAGGCTTGTAGGATTTTTGACAGTGAAGTTTCCCATCCTGTTCTTTTTGTGCAACGCTTCTTTTTTAAGGTTTTAAATAACTTGGTTTTCGTAACTCACGCTGTGATCTTGCCTCTAATAACAGTTACAATTGTTTCATGTTAAAGTATAATTAACTTATTTTCTTTTGTAAATGTCAAATTGAAACAAGTTAATTCACCTCAAGGGACATCTTGGCCATAGAAATAATTTATTGTTTATCAATGAGCAAGTAAAACGAAAGCGTAGTTTCTAATTTACTGTATTTCTTTGCTAGGTCACTGTTCCATGTAAGAAAAATTACAGACTACAAATATGGGAAAGAAACGCATCAAAGGCAAACCTGCACAGTCTGATGAGTCTCTGGATACACTGGGTATGTTTCCTCCATGAAGGGAGGAAATGTTTGTTTTAATCTTAAAGAGGGCTCGAAAACTCATTAATATTAGAAGACCTTTACTCTAGTCACTGGCCTTGAAGTCTCATTTACAAAGTGTGGGTTTGTATAATTGAAATTGAAGTCTAACAAGAAACACTGTGTTGCTACTTTTTCTAACTATGCTAGAAACTAGTGTTCCTGTTTTGAAAACCAGGATTATTTTTTGGTTTTCAAGAAACTTGGAGACGCCATTGTTTACTGATACACAGATCATATTGAATCATGTAAAATTCCTCAGCATATAAAGGGTTTGTAGAGTCAGCTGCTCTGATAAGTTTAAGTAGTATTTTCCTAATGAAGATTTTGTTGCAAAAGATTCTCACTTCAGCAAAAAAGATTGTGGTTAAAATATTTCTGTGAAACCATTTGTATTTACACTAGCAACTAACTTAGTACTGGCCCTGGACAGCTCAGCTCTCTAGTCATAGTGCTTTTTCATTAAAACTTCTTTATCTTCCTTGCCTTCTGTTCCTTTGGAGAAAAACCCAAATTGTTAATGTTATCCTTTTAGCTGGATCTCACTCCTGCATTGAAATTTTGTGATCTTGTTTACCCTGGTTATTCTAGCTCTTGGTTTTGCTTGTGCTGTGTAGCATTCTCTTCTACTATCTTGTCTGCCAGGTCACAGGTTATGTCTTGCCCATGTTTTTGGTTTGTCCTGGAAATGAGTTGAGCCATGCTAATTTAGGTGGGAGAGAGAACACTTACAGTTTTAGCCAAGAGGCTCAGTGTGATGGCCTATTTATTTTAAACTCAAGTCTACTTTTGTTTCCTGGTTGTCCTGTTCTTGTGGTAACTTCTGTCTCCTGTGGCTTTTTAGCTTCTTTTGTCTTCCTCCCTCCCGCCCCCAAAATCAGTTATGGTGCAATTGGTGATGGCATCTCACTACTTTGGCTAAAAATAGGCTAGCTTACCCCTACAAAGTCCTGTAAAGCCACAGGTGTGGACTAAGACTGATCATGTGAATAATTCCACTGTATAGTAGCAGCCAATATACAACAGGTTTGTTTAAAAACCACAGTTTTGAAGTTGTAGATGAAGCTTGTGTTTTTCAAAAAGGCTTAAAGAAAGCATATAAATATCTGTAATTGGCTCTTACTGGCTAGCATTTGTACTGTGGTAAAATACTGTAATCTTGGATAGAAACAGAACTGTAAGTACAAAAGTTTTCACCAGTTTCAGCTCATGCCAAAAACAGTTTGCTGTCTTGAGGCTGTAATCTTGCATACGGTCTTCAACAAAGATAGATTCAGAGCTGTTATGCTATCTGAGCAATAAAAATACCTTTGTAGCAAAGGACTTAAGACAGTTGAATTATGTAAACAGTTATGTAATTCTTCTCAATAATAGTTTCTTAAAAATGTGATTTTTTAATTTTTTTTTAACATACTAAATACGTACAGGATTTTTTCTTTCAGCATGGGTTTGTTTATTCTGTGATCTTTGACTTTTGAGGTAACTCTTTGTACTGCCAGATATTTCACCCCGTATTTGCAAATTTAGCCTACAGTTCTTCACTATTGGCAGTTACAAATGTCTAATGATGCTAAATGTCTTGGAAACCTACACTGTAAAAAAAAAAAAAAAAAAAACCGAAAAAAAAAAAAAACCAAAATAAAATTAAAATATGTTCCTCGTTTTTTATTTGGAAGAACTTCAGTCAGTTTTCATATGCATTGTCTGTCAATCACAATTTCTCTGTACATGACTTAGGCTTACAGACAGCTTCTCTTCACCCAAGTGATAGTGTAACCAGTAACCTTAAAAATGAAACAAAAAAGAAATAAGATAATTAAATTCCTTCCGATAGTAGCGTTTAGCAAGAGATGCCTTTTCTCTTGGTGTAACCGTTCTTAGCAGAGTTTGGTTAAATAGGTGGAGTTCATACCAGGCCCAGAAGGTACAGCTCCAAGTAGGGCATAGTATTGTAGTGCAAAGTGATATTGGAATAGGTAGGATGACTGCCGTTCTTTTTTTACCGTAGTCGTCTGCTGCATGATTTCACTGAGGCAGCTCAGCTGGAAGCGTAACCTCCATAATCTCCGCTTTTATAGGCCAGCCAGGTGCTGCCTTGGTGACTGGGAACCGTGGCAGTGGGCTGTGGCTGCTCCCTCGGAGGTGTGGGAATCATAACGCCACGGTAATAGAAGCCCACAGCCTGGCACAGTAGGTAGGTTTGTATCCAAAGGTTTTGTCAACGCCTCTGACTAGATGTAGATGAGTGATACTTTTTTTTTTTTCCCCCCTCCCTAAGTAATGCTGTAGTTTAGGATGCAGCAACAATATCCCTGGATCGTGGATGGGGGTAACAAAGGGTTTCTTTCTGATACATCTGCTAAATTGTCAATGTTTCTTTGACTCTAGAAAGGCTATCCTAGCTTCTGGATTGCTGCCTGTGTCTTTGAAGCCTAGAGACACTTGCATTTGTTATGATACCTACATCCTCCTTGTGCTTTTTATTTTGTAGAACCTGTGTGCAAGCATATTCGTAAAGGATTGGAACAAGGTCATCTGAAAAAGGCACTGCTGAATG